TTCAAGTGTTTTAATTTTTTTCTGTATCTTTGTATTAATTTTTTCAGCAAGTTTACTCTTTATTATACAATAGTGATATTTGTAACTTGTTGAGTTATTCCGAAGTGGAATCATTTTACATTTCTACCTGGTTATGATAGTTATTACTTCCTTACAAAAAAATTTTTCTTTGTTTCTGCCAACACAGTTGTGTTTGGTTATTCATCTTGCATTATGAATTCTACTTTCTTAAGTATTCCACCTATATTTAGGGATTTTCATGGGATACCTCCTCCTTCTTCCCACCATATTGGGGGGGTTGCCATCTTCTGTTTTTTCTCTCCAGACATAGCTTCTTTCCATTTGGGATCTTATTGGGTGGGACACTGCTGTTTGTTTACCATTCACTGTTAATAGGGACTTACCGTCAGATCTTTTTCTCCACTGGTCCATTTTTTTGGGGACTCCTCCTGCACATTTAGAGTTACATGGGATATCTGCCATGCTATATTAATTTTTTTTGTTTCATTCTGAGATATTGTAATCTTTATTCTTTTACATGTCTTGCAATTTCCCCTCCTTTATCTGTCTTACCTATGGGTTTTTCCATTCGTCTTATATGCTTGATGCTGGTTGGGGTTGTGGATTGATCGGTAAGTTACTTCTTGGGTCTTCTCTATTTTCATAAGAAGTCTTTGATCACATTGGGTTTGCTATTTCTGCATGTCAAGGTATGCCCACAGTGCACATTCTTATTTTCAATCTTTCAGGATGCTATTTTAGGTTATTTCACCATGTGATTTGGTTCCAGTTTTGTGCCTTGCCCTTTGGACTTGTCTGGTACCATATACCTTTTGTGGGGTGGTCTGCATTTTACCTGACTTCCACTTTTATGGGGGTGATTTTACCTACACTATTCATTGGTTAGATACTTCTGAACAGGGGTTCTTCACATACTCATGTACTCCTTCCGCAATCAGCTCGAATAGTTGGATGTGTTTTTCCTGTCTCATACCTCACATTCTTGTCTTGTTGGGGTAGTTATTTATACATACCCCCTCCATCAGGACCATCCATTGTTTTCCTCTTAATTTTCTTTCTTCCCTTTTCATCTATATGAGTTGATAGATGATCATATCCCCTACAATGTTGGGTTTCCTGCTTCCTCCCCCCTCTTCTGGATTATTTCTCTTCTCTGATGCTCATTTCTGTTGGTTGGGCATGTAATTTGTTCAGTAGGAGGCTTCAGAACTATGGTCTCCAGGCAAATGGTCTTATTGACTTCACACCTTGGCACTTCATCCAGTCCAATGTGCTTTCGTTCACTCTTTTCATTTTGTCTGGATATTGACTAATATTTCATATTGACTATTTGATGGTGGTGGCTTCTATCACTCTCCAAGGAAACGTTCTTTCTTGTTCCTTTTGTGGCAGACAGTGCATCTCCCTTTTTGAACCCACACACTTCATATGCATCTCCTGGAGGGTCGTGTTCCAGGTATTTTGTCCTCATTGCTCCACATTTTCTCCCAAGGAGTGGCCTCTAAATTTTTGATGGCTCTACCACCTATGGGATACTCCTCCAGATGAAGTTTTTGAATTTTTATCAATTCCCAGGTAATTCCCTCTTTTGTTTTTGGCTTCTAGTTCATTATCTCCCTGCCCTGGCTGTCAATATGTTCAGACAAGATTACATCCAGTTTCTCACATTAGTTTTTCTCTCTCCTTCCATCAGCTTTTTTCCAAAATGTTTTGTTCATCCATGTCACTCCAGTTCAGGCCATGTTTTAGGTGTTGTCATTCCTCTGGACTCTCCACCAAGTTTATTTCCCCTTTTTACTTCTAGTTTGAGGGTCCTTACCACTTTCTAGTTCTAAGCTGCTGGGGTGGTGGACTGTGGAGGTATCCTCATGAAAGTGTTCATGAAAAACAAATAACATATATACACACACACCCACCCTCACACACACACCCACACTCACACACACACACATATATATATATATATATATATATATATATATA